AGGAGAGAGAGAGAGAGAGAGAGAGAGAGAGAGAGAGAGAGAGAGAGAGAGAGAGAGAGAGAGAGAGATGAGGATGAGGATGTGAGGGCACGTACCTGGCCTTGGCGATGGTCTGGATGGTCGACATCTGCATTTACTTCGGTTGTTGCGGCTGACGTCAACTCGTTGCTTTGTCACTGTGTAGTTTAGGATAGAGTAGCTGTGTGATCGTAGTCGGGCGCTGAGCGCCAATAGGAGGACGAGCTTCGATTGCATTGTTGGTGGTGGCGAGTATATGCTTTCATTGACAATTGAGTTTGCTGCCTCGGTTCTCCATCGGTGTCATATCAGTGCATTTCTGCTTTCTGGACAGCATTCGACTATCTGGCTTTCATTGTGATTTTGCAATCTGGAGTTCTGTCATTTCACTATTGCTCATTTTCCTTGCACATGGTTCTCTCCGAAATCGTGGAGAAGGACCGGAATTTCGATGGGAAGCTCGTCTTCTAATTTATGTGTACGAGGTGCTACTGCAAACATAGTCGTACTCGACCCTATAGACAGACCAGAACCGAACTGACTGGTTACACTCTGCATAACGGTTTGACCGATTGAGGGTAACATCATTGCTGACCTACCTGCTTGGACCTCTCTTCTCATTACATGCTCCCCAACTTTGGGGAGGCTCTAAAACACATGAGGTCTCCTGGTATGACTCTTTTTTTTCTTTTTTTTCTTTTTGGGACAGTGCTCCAGTCTATTCGTGGGGAGCAACACGTGCTGGGAACCTGGCCCAGCGTGCCATTTGAAAACATATTGGAAACTTGGAAAACATTTGCAGAACAAATTGAGATACCGGGGCCATTATGAAGAACAGCTACTATGCTCGGCTTCCAAGAAAATTTAAGAACTTCAAGGGTCGTGGAAACCGCTAACCTATTCCATAACATACTCATGAGATAGACTAAAGCTCGGAAGGGTGAGATTACTTCGAATCTCTAATCCATAGGAGCATTCAACCTGAAACCAAACTACCTTGATGCCAATCGGCAGCTCAACCCTAAAACCTACCCCAACCCTCGTATCCTCGATACCCGGCCTCTACCAGGCCTCACACCCTCAACTGCTGGGTTACAGAGTGGCGCGACCCACTCCAGAACATCCCCCACCTGCTAGGCTACAGGGCGAAGCGACCCACCCCGGCTTCGGCCAGCATCATCTAAGTACCAACTCACCAACGGACATTGGAGTGCCATCCACCCTCGACAACTCCCCAGATCTCTCTACCAGGCCTCATGCCCTCAATATTTTTCTGTTCTCATTCAGTTCTGTGTTGTCACTCTTGACTATAGGAACTACACCCAGCACAAGGTAAGTTAAACCAGTGCCTAGTAACTTCCTACCATCTACTGCTCAGTCGCTGCTTGGGTGTGTGATGACAATATGTACCCAAGAAGACTTAGACTAGCTTCACCACCGGTCCTCTGCATACATCAAAGTCCTGACAAATACCATGCTGTCCAATTATTCCTTTCAGCCAGGCCTTCAGATGCCTCGATTCTGGACTATATTCTGCTGGAAGTCCTGATGTCCTGCCTGGTCTTTGCATTATAGCCATGCTCTTAACAGTCCAAAGAAGCAGTTTAATGACACTCTGAAGTATCCCACTGCTCCACAGAACAAACAAGTACGAGTAGCCTCATGAAGGAAAGGAACACCAGAGGGGGTTGGAAACGCAAACAAGCTGCAAGTTGAGTGAACATGGCAGGTACGGACTTGTATAAGCTTAGACTTTAAGTTGAAACAGACAAAGAAAGAGGTCCTGGAGGACTACCACTCTCTCCAATCCGCCACTCGATCTACCCCCTCTCACTCAAAATGGGAAAGAATAGGAGACAAAGCACATTACTTTGTACTGGGGTTGACTTTCTCCTTCAGTTTCTGGTACTCTTCATTCAGCATTTTCCGGAAGCGGGAGTTCAAGTTCTCAAGGAATTCAAGCTCTTTCCCAGCCACCCAAGCTAAGGATTTCTGTGTCATACCAAAGGCAAATGCACACACACAGTTCCACGGAGAAAAGGCAAAGACGTGGAGGAGAAAAAAATCCACCATAATCAATCAACCAGATATCTTCTGCACACAGATTCCCTCCAGCAAACCTTTCCCGATTCTTCTGCACTGCATATGACGCTTTCCATTGTCCCCTGTGCCTTTGACAAATAAGCATGTCCTGGTCAACGAATTCGAATTCAACAACAATGTTGGAAACAGAACTCACGTGGTTATCATGTTATTGTCCACGCTGGCTACTACAAGGCTGGCCTTTGGCAAGATGTAGTCGTGATGAACCATGTTCCCAATAATTTTGGTACAGACCTGAAATCACCAGTCCACCAGCCCCTGGACTACCAGGGTCCGTGACCAGATTTCGCCTACCGGACCAACAAAATGGGCAGCCCACGTGGGCCACCTCGCACAAGCAGTTAACAGGGACCCCCACTTTTCAGCCCTGGTTAACCCCCCCAACACTGAAAAGTGCGTTTGGGGATAATTTTTTTGAATTTTTTTCAGCTTTTTTTTTCTTTTTGCCCTGTTTTATTTTTGGTCAAGGTCTGCATGTGCTGAGTTTGGTGTTTAGTGGAGTCCTGGAGATGACTGTTTTGGCCAGCCCTGAAAATCCTGAAAATCCTGAAAACTGAAACGAGCGAATTTTGCATGAAAACACACTTTTGCCTTGGGGTTTAAGGCCCTTTTGATCCATTGTTTTAGTTTTTTCTTTTGCTGTTGGTTTATTTGGTGTCCACTCTATGGACTGGCGACAAGTCTGGCTTAAAAGGTGCCAGACATTTGTGACAATGACCCTGAAAAAACCCTGAAAATTTAGGGCTCTGTTAAACCACCGGTATCTCAGCCAGCCATTGTTTTTGGGACACGGCGCGTTAAGGGCTGCATTGGACGGGGTTCGGGGGAGGAAAAGAAACAAAATCGAAAAACGAAAACAAAAGCAACAGGAAAAACACGGGCTCGGCAGGGCAGGGGGGAGAGAGAGAGAGAGAGAGAGAGAGAGAGAGAGAGAGAGAGAGAGAGAGAGAGAGAGAGAGAGAGAGAGAGAGCACCGCGGTCCCACGACGCCTCTCTCTCTCTCTCTCTCTCTCTCTCTCTCTCTCTCTCTCTCTCTCTCTCTCTCTGTCTGTGTGTGTGTGTGTGTGTGTGTGTGTGTGTGTGTGTGTGTGTGTGTGGTGTTACATGCTAAGCCTGCACACGGGCCCCGCTTCAGGGGCCCGACGGTTGCTGAGGGCCCCCAGGCCGCACGCCATTCACGCATGCGCCCTGGAGGCCCACGGCCAGCCTTAGGGTCACAGGATTCGATTTGAGGTAGCATTTATTTATTTATTTATTTGCTGTCCTATTTTTGTCTGTTCAGGCGTCGTTTCGGACTTGCAACAGTCCCACGTCAGCACCAAGCCTGAGGAGAGGCTATGCTACAACGCAGCGCATGCATAGCTGTATTGCAACAAACGTGGCATTGTTGCTGACGTGGCACTGTTGCTGTCGTGGCACTATGCTGACGTGGCACTGTTGCTGACGTGGCACTGATGCACCCAGGGATGCTGTGCTCCCAGGTGGGCTCACTCGACTGCTGCTACTAGGCCATGCCTGCGGTTGCGGTCTGCTGGCGTTGGGCAGGAGTCTGCTGACGTACTGTGACGTCAGGTGCGGGAGGTGCAGAGCTCAACACAGTGCCATGTCAGCAATAGTGCCAGATCAGCAAAGTGCCACGTCAGCAACAGTGCCACATCAGCAAAGTGCCACTTCAGCAACAGTGCCACGTCAGCACCAAGCCTGAGGACAGGCTATGCTACAACGCAGCGCAGGCATACCTGTATTGCAACAAAGCTCTGCACCTCCTGCACCTGACGTCACAGTACGTCAGCAGACTCCTGCCTAACGCCAGCAGACCGCAACCGCAGGCATGGCCTAGCAGCAGCAGCCGGAGTAAGCCCACATGGGAGCACAGCATCCCCGGGTGCACCCGGTCTAGGCCTGCCCGTTCTGACAGGGCAGGGGCCCAATGAGACCATCGAGGCCTACCAGCTTCTCGTGGCCAACTTCCTGACCTCCACCAACGAGGAAAAGAAGCGCCGCGACAAAGAGTAGGGCGCTCGCATTCGTGCAGCCAAACAAGTACCAGCGCAGCAGTGATGACAGCAAGACGAAGCTGCAGCAGCAATCAACTAACTCCAGTTGGCCGCTTGCACGACACTGCAGCAGCAGGAGATGGAGTATGCAGCAACACTCAGAAAATGACACTTTACACCGAACACCAACGAGGACATCTCCATGATGATCGTGCAGCTCATTGCCACCTGCAACTGGCAGCAACAAGAGCTGCAGCGCCTGGCACGGGTGATCGACACAACTGAGACCAGCAAGATGGCACCAACCGCGGTTTTCACACCCGCCTCCAGGACTTGGAGACAATTGACGCTGCCACATCAGGCAGCGGACTGAGTACCATCCATCCGTCAACACGACAGCTGGAGCAGCGGATCGACTATCTGATCGCCACCATTGGCAACCTAGGGACATTCACAGGTTCTGCAACAATCAGCCAGCAATTCACCACGTTGAAGGCCGGCATTTGCAAATTGCAGCAACACCCAGCAGGTAGCAGCGACCATCGACCAACGACCGTACAAGATGCCGAACTTCAATATCGAGAAGTTTGACGATTACTACAAGCAAGACCCACTCGTTTGGTGGCAAGGATTTACTACGGCCATCGGCATCAACCACGTGACCACTTGGGGATAGCAGCGCTCTACATCAATGTGATCGCCACAATGCCATGCCAAATTTGGCTCAACCGCTTGGCCACACATGAAGGGGTGACAATGGAGAACTTGCACACCAAGATTTCATGGGACAATCTCGCAGGAAAATGGAAGAAGCGGTTCATCATTGATGCCATCAAGGCCCGTACAGAGAACCAGATCTTCCACATGTTCCAAGGGGCTCAGCCTTCACAAAAATGTTTGACCAAGTCGCAAAAGATTGTTGCCACCCCTGGCTTGAACATGTCGTTCAAGCACCTCAAGTGCGGAGTTTTTCTACGCCCGGTCAACTCGTTGAGCTCGACCCTTGGTGATGAGGAGCAGTACGAGGACTTCAATTCGATCATCGACCATGCTCAGTCAATCGTCCAAACCAATCATCGTGCCACTAACGAAAGACAGGGACAACCGAATTTTGTGGAGAAAGGAAAAGGGCAACGGAGGCAGCCCGTAGCTGCAGTCCAATCAACTGGACCAAGTCATAACCCAACATCGACTTTAGCGTCAAGCGAAGGAAACCAAGTCAATGCCCTTTTGCCACGATGTCGAGCGCATCGGTCCCGCAAGGGGACCCTCCCGGCCGCGTCACAGATAATTTTGCAAGACTTGATTATTAAAAGAAATTTGGGCGAAAATCCCAAAAAACGATACAGTAAAGCACTGGGGCCAAGGCCTTAGGTTGAGTTGCGAGAACGAGTATGAATTGATTCGTAAATCAACCTATTGTCAAAATATAACATTAGATGATCCTCGCAGGATCAGGCTGAACTTAGTCAGACCTTGAATCGAAGTTACCAAAGAGGACCTGTTACATAGCACAGGCTAGTTCCCACAGCTATGTTTAAGTGTATGGAGAAAAACCCCATATCACATTTCCCCCAACTTCTCTCAAGACTAAGTTTAAACCTATCTCTATATGATATAAAAAATCAGGGAAAATTTTGGCATCATCTCCCCTGTACATGGTAGATTGCCAAAGTTTTCCCTACCAAATATAATCTAACTCCTTGAAAAATAGAAAAGAAAGTGTCTTTTCATAATTTTTACTTAGCTAGATACGAGAACAGAGAACGAATTTTGACTTTACAGAGTCAATTTTTGTCTAACTCTTTGATTTAGTAAAAATTTGGGCAGCACTCCCTTTAGAAAAGTAGGCTACCGAAAGTTTTACTAAACCAGATATGAACTCAAAGACAAAACTTGAACTCCGCTAAGACAAAATTTGACTAACTCTTTAGATTTGTAGAAATTTCGGCAGCACTCCCTCTAGCGAAAGTGTGTTTGTAAAATTTGTACAAAGCTAAATATGCAAGGACGAGCGAGGCTCACTTCGACGACGAAGACCAATGTACATGACGTCAAGACCAATGCCGACGTCCCACATACACGAAGTACGTTCTCTCGCATCCCCTCATCGGACCTTGTCCACCCACACCTACGCCTCCTTCCCTGAAGACCACTATCGCCTCATCAGCTGCCCACGGCCCTGCAGCCCAGCTATGGCCGCTTGGCGCCCCGCTGCCCTGCAACGCCCCACACCTCTTAGCGTCCACTGTCGGAGGGCGTGGTGTCCCAACCCTCCGTCGTGTACCAGGCACACCCTTCTCATGGCTCCTCAGTTGTGTATCTGACTCGCTCTGTCCGCGACCTGTTCCTGGACTAACCGACTGGTGCTCCCACAGCAAAAGGGGTGGGGTTGCACCACTGGGCTTTCCATTGGTCCACGCAGGTCCGGTGCCCTGCTGTACAACAGAGCACGACCGGCCAGTGCCCGTGGTAGCCGTCGGGCTCGCCGAGGGACGAGGAGGTGAAAGGTATGGCATATGCTTTTCTGTCGCGCGCCAAGTCTTTTTTGATTGGGTTATGGGATATATGCAGGGTAGCAGTCACGATCGAAAAGAAAAGAGAAAATATAAAGAAAATTAAGAAAAGGAAAAAATAGGGTCGTTTCAGATTGTGACTCTTGGTTAATTGAAAAGGCCTAAGGTGAATGCAGGGTTACGTATTTTTCTCATTTTATTGTCAATCCAAATTTAGTCCCCCTTTCTGTCACTTCGCAGGGAATGAACAGTTCAATTTTGAATTCTTAATTCCGCATGGACGGCCTAGACTGCCCGACCCCTCGTGCTTCAGTTGCTCTGGGATTACTTGCAATGTAGGACCCCAAAAGAGGGGCAACCCGCGGCCGCTTTGGTAGGAGGCTTATCAGCCCCCGCGGAGTGTCCTAAGCCCCCTCCTTGCCATCGGATGCGGGCACCCATTAGTAGTAGTTTGATGGCTCCTCTTAGAGAGAAGGAGGCGCCTGTTGGTATCCCATTATGGAGTCATCTCTCGGGTACGGCCTCAAAGTGGCGGCCCGGACCCCGAAAACATCAAGCATCCTACCGCCACAACTGCACCTGCACATCACGGTCCTCCTCCGATGTCCTCTGGTCCACCCCCTCGCAGATAGCCTCTGCCTCCAGGCCACCCTCGTCGTCCAACATGGACTTGTCCTGAGTGCACGGAAGAACCAGACCGCCCCCCACGCTCCGAAGAGCCAGAAGTCGCGTGTTGGCTGTGATCTCGACCAACTTCGCGATTTTCGGGAACAACAACCTATTACGCTTCTTTGTTTGAGTACTCTTGTGGCTGGCCTAGTTCCTCTCTGCAGGAGAGGAACACGTCCACATGTACATGACACGAAGAGCGATACACTGAAGGTCGGGAGCACAACCGCCATACGGTGACCACCACAGACCGCACTCGACGGTCTCCTGCTCCCCAACGCACATCTTCGCAGCGGCGCGCCCCCGCTCCCCTCCCCATGTGCAAGTTAAAGTCCATATGTGAAAATCTCGCAGCTGCAACACAGCGTCTCGGTACTCCTTGCGTCGCTCGTCAAACCTAGTCTGCGACATAATGTACCGCTCTGCCTCCCTCACAAGTCGTGCCTCCTAATCCTTCACCACGCCGCTGTAATACTGCATCGACCTCCTCATGGGGCAGAGGAGGTACGCCGCAGCGTGCGCAGGCTCACACATATGAGCAACGCGGTCCTGCACGCACTTGAAAATCTGGTCCGCCAATCTATGTATCACCCGCAGTCGTGACCGCAGGCCATTTGGCCGCACGCGGTCGGCATCCCGACCGCAGAGGGCGACCGCCCGTGGCCAAGTTCGGTTGGAAAACCCCAACATTTTTAAATCCTAGGATAATACACCAAAAATAAAATAAAATCCCTCAGGCAAAAATTCTTCACTTTATTATTTTAGTAAGAAAAATAAAGGATTTTGTTTGCTTTTTATCTCAAATGTGGTAACGAATTTTGATATGACCCCAAGGCAAAAGTTGTTCAGTTTATTGTTTGGCATAACATATATTTTTTTCAGAGTTTTGTGTTTTTTTTTTCTTTTCTTTTCTTTTTTTTTCATGACCGCGACCTCGCGGCCGAGACCGCGGTCCGCGGCCGTGCCCGCGGCGACCGCGACCGCGGGGGATTCATAGCCGCCAATCCATCCTCAAGGGGGGCAACGGCCACCTGCACGTTCTCCACCAACTGGCAACCGCCCCGCCCCGTAAACCACTCTCGACATGCACTGCCCTTCATGATCCATCTTGAGCGGCAAATCATAAACCAACTTCATAACGACTCGCCAGATGTCCATGGAGTCCCACTAGGTGTCGTGCCGGATCTGCCACCGCACCCAGCGCACATACTGCCTGGTCGATGTAGTCGCCCAAGGCTCCCTGCACCAATCAATCCCGTCCACCATTCGCTCCAAAGGACGTCGGACAACATCCAACGGCTTCAACATCGCATAGACAAATGCGAATCAAATCTCGCACGAGTACAACAACCCGAGATGGCGACTCTCTCTCCTGAATAGGAAATGCGCTCAGTCGTGCATTTTTATGAAATGCACTACTGCTCTCTCTCGTACAATAATATCCACGCACCACGGACCCGCTGTCCCAATGTCCGACAACAACTTGTTGCACACGTGTGCTGCACACAAGAGCCACGTGATGCGTCTGTACTCAGGCCACATAAGTGGATCGGTCAAAGCGTTGCCTGCCTTTACATAGGCAGATGCAAAATCTGTGCAAATTGCATTGACCCTGTCTGGACCAAAGTCGTGGAAGACTGATATCCACCTCCCCAAACACTGCCAGTGCATCATCGGACTCACCCTCCCTATTGAGGGTGCTCCACATCATCACTCCTCGAGCACCAGCTGCTAGGAAGTTGACGATGGGTCTCCCATCGTGAGACTTCCTGCCGTCGGACAGGATCGTGGCCCCTGTGTGGTCAAATGACCCTTGGACATCCTTAAGACCGGCAACAACGTTGATTGCCATCTCAACCACCGTATCCATTGATGCGACTTCGTTCTCGGAAGGCCAAATCATGGGCACTGAAGGGGGTTTGTCCCTGAAGTGTGCGGTGTACGCCTTCCATGTGGGGCTCCGAATGATGTTGAAGGCTAGCTGGTTGCTGTACACAAAGCGCAACCACAACTTCCTGTGTTTGGCAGCCCAGCCAGACCCGAACGCCTCTTTTATCGTTGGCTGCCTCATCGTCTTCCCCTGCTGCATCGTGGCACCGTCCATATCCTTCCTCTTCCCTAAATTTGAATCACCCTCACCAACGGGCTGCTTCCCTGGCCGCTGCGAGTATGTACTGGCGTCCTCCCCGCCACCCTTTCCCTCGCCATCCAAATCAATGACGTCATCGCCCTGCTTCCGTGCCCCAACTGGGACTGTGGACGCCGCCCTCGCCACATGAGGACCTCCGCTAGGAATCCTATCGTCCACCTAAGCACCGTGAAGCTCCTCGTACTTGCAGATTGGTTCCAACCACTTTCCTTCGAACGTGTACCCGCTCGTGTAATGCATGTCCATAAGAGCTTCGTCAGTCACTTGCGAACAACCCTTCACACTGCGAAAATGTCGCGCTGCCCCATGTTTGTTCCCCTGCCACTCGTTCGCGCAAAACACACACCGAAGCATCCTCTGACCATGGAGCTTCTCTGAAAGCTCCTGGCCAACAAGCATGTACTTGTACACACTGTTCGAATTCTTCATGCTCGCCTGTGTGTCATCGCTGGCATGGATGAAGGTGTTTACTTGCCACTTCGGCATTTTTGTCGTGCCCCGTTGACGCCTACCAAATGGCTGTTGGCAAGCCCCACGTGTCCACTCCCCCACCCGTCAGGCAGCCCGCTGCCAACTCCCCAACCTGGCAAAAAACCCCACCACCCTTCGGGCAGCACTCTGTCAACTCCCCAACCTAGCAAAAAACCCGACCACCCTTCGGGCAGACGTCCGCCAACTCCCTGGACTAGCACCCCGGGCCCAATTCCCCCACCGGCCCCAACCCCTCCAGCCGACAGGCCCCCTGAATCTCCGCTCTCCACGCCTTTCAGCGCGCGCTCAAAATTTTCAGCGCGTGCTCAAAGATTTCAGCATGCGCTAAAAGATTTCAGCGAGCGTATATCTGCTCGCCCTTCGCCGTCGTGTTCGTCGTCGTCGCCGTCTGTCCCTGTGCGTCTTTGTGGGGGCCAAGCGTGCACAAACACGATTCAGCAAATGAGTGCATGCTCATCCACGCAGCGCTCATTAGCGCGTTGTATGAAACTTCTCCACAATTTTTTTTATTTTTTTTTTTTGAGGGAGGACAACCACCTGTTGGGAGCTGGCCAAAACTCACCCCCCATCGCTCCCCCGACGCCTGGGACCTCGTACACCCCCTACCAGCCCTCCGCACACCTTGTACTGGCCCGCCCGCGAACACGCTCGAGGCGCTCAAGGCGCGCTCGAGCGCAGTTTTGAGTGGCGCTAAAAAACTCGAGCGCCGCCTGTGCGCTCAATCAGCGCGCGGTTTCACAGCTCATCTACTCATCATTTAGGGAGACACTGTCTGCACAAACGCCCTTTGTGGGGCCTACCACAGCATGTGTCTGACCGAGTTGAAAAATAAATAAAGTTAAACTAATATTCGGCAGGTCACCAAGGCTACTGTTCAAGCGGTATCAACAACATATACACAAACTGTACACATGATGTAATCCTACTCTGATTAGCTTCACTCACAACAGCTTCAATGATAACTGGCTATGGTAGAATACTTCAATACTAATCTAAGTTGTCTGTTAGGTGTTAGCAGTCAGTCCACCAACTAATCAAAATAAAAATAAATCATGTGAGCAGATGTATGTGCAAGGGATATGGTTGTGATTAACAATTGAGCACCAATTAGTACCTTCCTTCCCCTGTATCCAACGTACATGTCTGCATCATTAAGCAACGGTGTCTAAGGTGTGCATTAACGACCCATCCCTGTGCCCAGGAATTCGCTTATGACCAGTAGTGCCCGTTCTTTATCCTTGCGTGCAACAAGCCTTACGTCTGACAGATCAAGCTGATCAAGAGGCGTTTTAAGGACAACCCCCAAGGTCCTTAGAAATTGTTTAAGGTCGCAGACAGGACGACAAAATTAGAACCCCTCCAAAAATATTTATGGACGGTCTGGTATGCGTCTGCATAGAACTGGTCAGTCCACGGTCCCTCTATTAGCGCCGCAAAGAGCCTCAAAGGACAAAGCAGCATGGCCTACGTGTACTACTCCTTTGGGTTGACATGGTGACCGTGACCCTTGCTTCGACCAGGGCCCTCTAGAGGCACTGCCCTCTCTTACCAGACAGGCCACCGGGGAGAATGTCGTCTCTCAAGATAGAGCGCTCATGACTCCTTACTTAAAAGAGGACACTCAAGGTTTGACTCACTTCCTCACAGTAAGAAGAGATTGAGAGGGAAGATAAGGTAAGGGAACAACGTACCTGGAGATAGTTGCCCTCAACCACAAATTTCTCACTAATTGAGCCAAAGGGGCGCCCTAGTGAGGCGCAAGGGCCACTCGACTTAGCCAATAGACCTAAGCTGAGGGGCGAGTTCTCTAACTCGTTGTCGAGCGCATCGGTCCCGCACCGCGCAGGGCGGGACCCTCCCGGCCGCGTCACGCAGGAGTTGGTCTGATCCTCGTCGCGAATACACATGGAGCTTCTGCAAGCCGCTCCGCCCGAGTGCGCCAGCCATACCTCTCGCTAGCCCCTACGACAGGGTAGGGCCAACACGAGGCATGACTTACCTTCACCTTGCGGGAGCTGTGACCTCCCTTCAGTGGGTGTATCCCCATTGAGCTACCAATCCACAGTACGAAAGCTAATCAGTTGCAATCGCAGAGGTGGACCAGCCGAGGGCATTTCTCGTTCACTGTAGCATAGGGGATACACGCGGTTTTACACCTCTATCGGACCCTCACGTGAACCGACGCCTTGGGGGGCTGAGGTCCCAAGCACGACTCGTCGTCGGTCGACTAGGACGCATCCCACACACCACTCGTACACCACAACATACACACATACAAAACGACACAAAACAAACAACACAATAACACTCCTAGTCCCTTTTTGTATCTATCCCATAACCTTCCGACGCGGAAATCGGATAGGCGACACGCACAAGACTTAATATACAACTACATGGACAAAAGGTCTTCCCATATCGACTAGTAATGCATGAATAGCAAGTAGTCGCAATGATGGCGGTATAAAACCGCATGGACGCATGGCCTTCCCATATCGACTAGTAATGCATGAATAGCAAGTAGTCGCAATGATGGTGTACTATGTAGTACCCATAATCATGCGGTCCGCGCTAATCTCGAGGGTTGCATTCAACATTTAAGTGCGGCTGACACGCGCCTTGAGGGGTTAATCTCTCGATGCTAGACAACCGCCAAGTGCGGTTGAGAGCCACACCCTCTTCTGCACCCTGCAGAGAGTGGGTGGTACACAGGTTCATGCTTGTGGTGGCAATCGTCTCTTATTGCTCTGGAGATCAGCTCTATCATCCAGGGCTCAAAGAAAAGTCACAGGGTTTGACTTTGACGGTTGCCACGGTCTCCAACGTCCAACCATAAAATTAACAAGTAGAATTACTCAGTAAATAAACAGGCATTCCAATGTCCATATTAAATCAGAACTCGAGATAAATCCAAAGAAGGAAAGATAAACCCATCAGGTATGCATATGGTGCGACACATGGTTGTCATTTTCACTGCCTCCAAAGTAAGTCTCGTACACAGGCTCCAAGACACTAACCTGTATAAAACACAGGCACAGACGAACATCACATTGCCATACACCAGTGTGGTAAACTTTACTGTACCCTATAACTGACACCACGCCTCACACACTCAAGCCCCAGTCATAGTCCAACTTTCCATAAATATCATAACTTCTTTATAATGGTCATTACAAGAAATCCGGTTAAAACCCTCAAAGAAGCATATCAAATCTCAGGGCAAAGGCATCAAGTTGAGGTACAGGTATAAGCAAAGTTACGTCCTGAGCCGACGAGTCGGCGATCAACCAACCTCCCTGTTGTCAATGATAACAAAAGATGATCCTCGTAAGATCAAGCTGGAACTTAGTCCGATCCTGAATCGAAATGTCCTCAGAAGGACCTGTGACATAAGACAAGTCAATGCCCAAACTAAACTTATAAGTGTACGTAGAATAAATCCCCATGTCATGCTCGCACTCAAAATCCTTCTTATAACTAAGTCTAAGTTAACCTTTAAGTCAGTGCTCAAAGAAAGTTAGATCCTGACAAAATCTCCCCTATGCAGAGTGGATCGTCAGAATCGTCACCTGTCAAAATATAATCTACCTCCTTTAAACTAAGGAAATTTTAGCAGTGCTTCCCGTAGGAAAAGTGTCTCTCCAGAATTTAGATCAACCCAAATATCAAACCATAAATAATCTTCAACTTTCCAAAGTTAAATTTTCTCTAACTTACTTAATTAGCAAAAATTTGGGCAACGCTCCTTTTAGAAATGGAGACTTTCCAGATTTTTACTAAGCTATATATATATATATATATATATATATATATATATCCTACCCCTTAAGCAGCATTGGCCGCGGGGGGAGGTCGATGGTCCGCTCCGCGCCGGACTTGGGGGTGAAGTTTTATTGCGGGCCGGCGGATGGAGGCGATCGAGGGCGGGGGGCGAGCGGAGCGGCGCACGTATCGAAATGTTCACAGCGCGCCAGAAAACGAGAGAGCGCGCCCAGGGGGCGGAGCGGCGGTGGGCGTCGATGCGAGGGAATATCTCGAAGCGCCCGCCGTCGATAAGCGCGCGTCTTTTTTTTTTTTTTTTTTTTTTTTTTTTTTTT